ACCATAATTGGGCCAAACAGTCCAACCCTGACGGCTCCTGGTCCTCCATGCTTCCTAATTGTCCGAAGAAAACACTACTGCTAAAATGAAGTAGATGAGAGATCTCAGCTAGACGCAATCCTGTTTTTAAAGAGGACTATGCCTCAATATCATTCTATCTTTGTTTCTATCATTAGACTTTATTTTCAGAGCACTTTTAGGTTTACAAAATAATTAAGCAAAAGGTAGAGTTCCCCTATGCCTCCTTTCTGCCTGCCTCCCCACCAGTTTCCCCTACTATTAACATTTTAAATTAGTGTAGGCCAGGCACAGTGGCTCACGCCTGTAATCCCAGCACTTTGGGAGGCCGAGGCGGGTGATCACGAGGTCAGGAGTTCGAGATCAGCCAGGCCAACATAGCGAAACCCCGTCTCTAATAAAAATACAAAAAATTAGCCAGACATTGTGTCATGCACTTGTAATCCCAGCTATGCAGGAGGCTGAGGCAGGAGAATCACTTGAACCCGGGAGACAGAGGTTGCAGTGAGCCAAGATCACAACATTGCACTCCAGCCTGGGCGACAGAGTGAGACCCCCCACTCAGAAAAAAATTAAATAAATAAATAAATAAATAAATAAATCAGTGTAATCCCATTCTTTCAATTCTATAACACAAGCACGCGCGCGCGGACACACGTATGTGTGGGTGCGGTCTTGAACTTCAGGTGTCAGGCAATCCTCCCACTTCAACCTCCTGAGTAGGTGGGGCTACAGGCACACACACCACTGAATCCAGTTTATTTGATAATATTTAAATAATTAGAGACAGCTATTGCTTTGGCAAACAAGAGAATAAGTATTTTAGTGAGCTTAAGCAGTCAGACTTATTAGCTACCAACAGAAGAATTACTTTGACACCATTTATACCCAAACTAACCTTACTGGATTTGATAGGAATCCTTACATGTAAATAGCTGTGCAGCTGGTTGGGGGCATGACTTGCAAGCAATGGTAAAGAAGGCGCTTGACTTGCAATGCTGACCTGTAGACTGAGGTTCTGCTCCATCTCTTCCCTCACTTGATGACTTTGGCTGAATCTCTTAACTCAGGAATTCTGGGTTGGATTAGAAAATCTAAAAGAGACCTTTCCAGTTCAAAATGTTATTAATTGATTAATCCCTTGTTTTCCAAAGTGAGTAGAAGGCTATTTTATGCAGCTGACAATTTCTATTTATTTATACAGTTGTTTTTATTTTAAGGTATATTTGAAAATCTGCCTCAAACTCAGATTTCATAAATATCATTGCTTAAGATGAAACTACATTTAAAAAATTGTTCCATTTATGTCAAATTAAAGAAAACGTTGGTATCTAATAGTACAAGCAACATGGACCTGACAAAAATCAGAAGTAAAGGGTGGCGAGGTGCAGTGGCTTACACACGTAATCCCAGCACTTTGGGAGGCCAAAGCAGTAGGGTGGCTTGAGACCAGGAGTTCAAGGCTGCGGTGAGTATGATCATGCCACCACACTCCAGCCTGGGAGGAGACCAAGAGAGAATGAAAAAAAGAAGTAAAGTGTATTAGTTTGATCTTGGATTGCTGTAAAGAACTACCCAAGACTGGATAATTTATAAAGAAAAGAGGTTTTGGCCGGGCGTGGTGGCTCACGCCTGTAATCCAAGCACTTTGGAGGCCAAGGCAGGCAGATCACCTGAGGTTGGGAGGTCAAGACCAGCCTGACCAACATGGTGAAACCCCGTCTTTAAAAAAAAAAAAAAAAGAAAAGAGGTTTAATTGTCTCACAATCCCACAGGGTGTATGGCTGAGGAGGCCTCAGGAAATTCACAATCATGGTAGAAGGTGGAAGGGAAGCACGCACGTGTTACACGGCTGGAGAAAGGGGAAGAGGGAGCACGGGGAGGTGCTACCCACCTTGAAACAACCAGATCTCGTGAGAATTCACTATCACGAGAACAGGAAGGGGGAAATCCATTCCCACGATCCAGGCACCTCCCACCAGGACCCTCCTGCAACATGGGAGCTTACAATTCCACACAAGATTTGGGTGTGGGTGCAGATCCAAACCATATCATAATGTATAACTGAAAAACATTCAGCAAATACTGGATTAATTAATACATTCATCCATCCAAGACATCCATCTCCATGTCAAAGAGAGCTGTACCCCAGAACTCTCTTTTTTTAAACCTAAATAATTTGCCTCAATTAATGAACAAGTACCTTAGAATTTACAAGTGAAAGAAAGCACAATAAGAAAAGTATTAGGTTGGTGTAAAAGTAATTGCTGTTTTGCTGTTAAAAGTAATGGCAAAAACAGCAATTATTTTTGCACCAATGTAATACGCTACCAGAGAAACGCTTTCAACTTAAGTAGCACAGACTTAAAGAGCAATTAAATCTGATTCCAAAATACCTCCAACATTTCTTGAAATTATACAAAGTCAACAGGGCCAATTTGCAAATAAAGAGAAGGGATGACTTAACGTTTTTCATGCTATAACCATTTCCTCATATTATTTGGCATATGTAATCTGACATATTAACCATCAATTTATCCAAGTATTCCAGTTCATTCATAGCTCTTTCCTAAGCAAAATGCTGTCATGATTCTATCTTTAGATAAAATCTATCTTCTTATCTTATTCCCTGCAGCACCAACTGGCCTTCCATCTGGGAGGCGGGTAGAAATTTCTTTTTAAACTATTTTCATTATTTATTTATTTATTTTATTGAGACAGGAGTCTCACTATGTTGCCCTGGCTGGTCCCAAACTCCTGTGCTCAAGTGATCCTCCTGCCTTAGCCCCCAAAGTGCTAGGATTGCAGGTGCACTCCACCGTGCCCAGCTTAGAAATTTAACTCTTATTTTCACATGAGATTTCCCTCCCTTATCTCAAGTATCTTTTTTTTTTTGAGGGGGGGGTCTCACTCTGTCGCCCAGGCTGGAGTGCAATGGTGCGATCTCAGCTCACTGCAACCTCCACTTCCCAGGTTCGAGCGATTCTACTGCTTCAGCCTCCCAAGTAGCTGGGACTATAGGTGCCCACCACCACACTCAGCTACTTTTTGTATTTTTTGTAGAGATGGGGTTTCACCATATTGGCCAGCCTGGTCTCAAACTCCTGACCTTGTGATCCGCCCACCTCCATCTCCCAAAGTGCTGGGATTACAGGTATGAGCCACCACACCCACCTAGCCACCTCAAGTATCTAAAGCTTCTGGTCTTTATATAATCCACATGTGGACCATGTAAGGCCAAAAAGAATAATGGGTCTTATTCATCCTTATAAGCCACATACCTTTGTTGAATGTCGGAAACAAATACTGTTGAGCCACAAATTGAGATAACTTAATTATGAATAAACCATGATCCACTTCTGCTAAATATATACTTAAGATATCAGTCATTTGCAAGTTTCATATGTCCAGTTTTCTGGATTTTTCTGTGCTCTAACCATAAGAAGTCAGAAGGCAAGGAATTTGACACATATGTCTCAGCTCCGCTACATGAGGTATAATACAGCGCTGTATCCCCTCCGCTCTTTCAGAGAGTGGACAGAGGCACTGCACTTAAACAATTATTTCTGTGGTGTTCCAAGCTGTCATTTTGATACCGGCTATTTGATGCAAGGTCCTGTATTCAAAGATTCTTCCTATTTAAGTTCAGGCAGTCATCGTTGATATATGTTGATTGTTTCTTTGTCAGAAAGCAAAACCTTTTTTTTTTCCTTAGCTTCTGGGAAAATCAGTCCTCAATTACAGTAATATGATTATCTCAAGTATTTAGTAATATCTGATGCCTCAGTTACCTTTTAGAAAATGGTAATAGCTTGGCTGGGTGCAGTGGCTCATGCCTGTAATACCAGCACTTTGGGAGGCCGAGGCAGGTGGATCACAAGGTCAGATGTTCAAGACCAGCCTGGCCAACATGGGGAAACCCCGTCTCTAAAAAAATAAAAATAAAAAAATTTTTTTAATGAACAACAAAAAAAGAAAGAAAATGGTAATAGCTAATGTTTAGAATCCTATGTGCTAAAATTGTAGCTAGCATATAGGACTTTAACAGTCACAATGACTCTATGAAGTGTATACTATGACATTTTAGAACACCGTGACCTGGAGAAGTGAGACTTCTCGTCCAAACACCCACAGTATTGACCAAACACAAGTAGTCTGACCCCAAAACCGGCACTACTAACCACTCTCCTGTGCTTTTATCCTCAATTATGCTTCTTCACATGGTGTTTTACAATAAATGCCTTTCAAGCTTTTTTTATTTTTTTATTTTTATTTTTTGAGATGGAGTCTTGCTCTGTCACCAGGCTGGAGTGCAGTGACGCAATCTCATCTCACTGTAACCTCCGCCTCCCGGGTTCAAGCGATTCTTCCGCTTCAGCCTCCCGAGTAGCTGGGACCACAGGCACGTGCCATCATGCTCGGCCATTTTTTGTATTTTTAGTAGAGACGGGCTTTCACCACATTGGCCAGGATGGTCTTTATCTCTTGACCTCGTGATTTGCCCGCCTCAGCCTCCCAAAGTGCTGGGATTACAGGTGTGAGCCACCGCGTCTGGCCAGCTTTTTTTTTTTTTTAAGGACAAAGTTATTGCTCCTAAATTATCGATTGTGTCATAAGTCTTTTTGTAGGCTTTTTTGGTGTTATTTTGGTGGGTTTTTAAAAATTATTTTTATTTTTATTATTTTTAAGACAGGGTCTTGCTCTGTCGCCCAGGCTGGAGTGCAGTGGTGAGGTCTCGGCTCACTGCAATATCTGCCTCCCGGGTTCAAGCGATTCTCCTGCCTCAGCCTCCTGAGTAGCTGGGATTACAGGTGTGTGCCAACATGCCCAGCTAATTTTGTATTTTTAGTAGAGACGGGGTTTCACCATGTTGGCCAGGCTGGTCTCAAACTCCTGACCTTAGATGATCCACCCACCTCGGCCTCCCAAAGTGCTGAGACTACAGGCGTGAGCCACCGCCCCCGGCCTGTTTTGGTGTTTTTAAAAATATGGAATGCTTCATGAATTCATGTGTCATCCTTGCTCAGGGACCACGCTGATCTTCTCCGTATGGTTCTTTTATATTTATAATGTATCTGCTTTTATGTTTGTATCTTACGGAAAGATTTGTTTGATGTGATGTGCCAGTACTTCAATTTATAATAGACATCCATCAGTCATTGTCTTCTTCAAGTACATGGAATGAGATTATGTGACTTAAGGATACACATTACACATTTCATGGCTTCCTCCCTAAATAGTCACACCCACAGCTGAAGCACCCACCCTAGCAACTGAGAGAAAAGTAATTGTGTGCTCCGAACAACAGTTTAAAAGTGGGAGGCTGAAGGAGAACCTAAGCTCCATGCCTTTCCTGAGTCCTTGGCACAGTGATTGCAGTTTTATCTGGCATACCAGCTCTGGGGGTTCCAAATGGCAGAATGGCAGCATTTACCCAACTTTCTAAGGCTGCCACTGTATGTTTACTGAGCACAGAGGGAATCGTTGTGAAGGTAGCTTCTGTCCCCATCCTTTCTAGTTATCTACCAGTCTGTCGCCCAGGCTGGAGTGCAGTGGTGCCATCTTGCCTCACTGCAACCTCTGCCTCCTGGGTTGGGGCAAGTCTCCTGCCTCAGCCTCCCAAGTAGCTGGGATTACAGGTCTGTGCCAGCACACCCTGCTAATTTTTGTATTTTTAGTAGAGATGGGGTTTCACCATGTTGGCCAGGCTGGTCTCGAACTCCTGACGTCAGATGATCCACCCACCTCGGCTTCCCAGAGTGCTGGGATTACAGGTGTGAGCCACAGCACCCAGCCTGCACCCCAGATATTTTAAACATTAACCAGCCTCTCTTTTCCACCTAAAAATGTTAAGGAACTGCATATTGTGTAGTGCATCTAGTATGCGTTACTAAGTACCAGAACCTCAGCATTCATAGGTTTGTAAATGGTGCTATTGCAGATAAATAGGAATGTGTCCTCTTAGCTTATTTATTTGCAAGAATACATATACATATGCACATATGCATGTGTGTGTGTTTTCTGCTATAAAGGAAGAGAGGAAGGAACCTGAAATGGAGGTTGGACGATCTCATCCAAACGCATCCTCAGCTGACGCCTGCGCTTCCTTCTCTCTGTTGCAGCCACTGCTTTCCATGACTTAGTGTCTTAGATTGAATTTCTGCTCTTGCTATGTTTAGAATCTATTTTTAACTTGGCCAACTGATTTACTACGGAACCATATGAGTGTTGCTATTTTCAAATACATAATAGTTGTCCCCAGAACCCACTAAAAACTCTATAGAGAAAGCATTGTATGCCTGCCCCGTCCGCGGTGCATTCTCCAGAATGTAGGGTAACGATTTTAAAACAAAGCAAGCATTTACTGAGTTCCTAATGTATGTCAGGCAACAAACAGGCTGGGTGCTTATTTATATTTTCTTAGTTAGTCCTCAAAAAAATCCTGCGTTGGCAGAGACTTCTTGCCTGATCAAATACATCGTAACCCTGCATGTAAGTATGAAGTTCCGTACTGAGTGCAGAGATCGTGGGTATTCAGGCCAACCCATCCTGAATTCAGATGCTATCTTTGCCACTTGCTAGCTATGTGGACTTGAGCAAATTACTTCCCCTCTCTGAGGCTCAGCTTTTTCATTTGTCAAATAAGAACAATGATACTTCCTTGCAGATGCTATAAAGAAATACTAACAGAGTTGAAGTGGCATATTAGACGCTCACAGAATCTGGCACGAGCCATAATGCAGGATAAAAAGTAGTTACTGCGATTTTTTTTATTATTCTGAGATTTTTTTCATGTTCTTGAAAAGAAAAAAAAATTCAGAGAGTTTGGAAGATGCAGGTGAAATTAACGTGTCGTTAAAGGGTCACTACACTGCTCCTAGAACTCTTGGACCTGGGCAGTTTCAATCTGAGCAGCTGGAAACTGCAATAATCCAGTGTGGCTTTGGAATGACCGCCAGGCCTTTCAGTCGGGGCCTTTTGCCCCTGGGAGTCTTCAGACATCTGGAGGAACGTCATGAGTAATCCTGGTTATTGTTTAACAGAATCTTAGCTGTGAACAGGTGTGCCTTTGCCTGCTTGGTCTCAGCTTAGGAAGAAGCGACTCGTCATACACCTACAGGACAAATTCTTGGTTCTTGTATCTATATCCAGCTGGAGCTGCGTTAAAACCACTTGTAATGATTTCAGAATCCCTACAGTAGGCTGGGCACGGTGGCTCATGCCTGTAATCCCAGCACTTTGGGAGGCTGAAGTGGGCAGATCACCTGAGGTCGGGAGTTCGAGACCACCCTGACCAACATGGAGAAAAGCCGTCTCTACTAAAAATACAAAATTAATGAGGCATGGTGGCACATGCCTGCCTGTAGTCCCAGCTACTCAGGAGGCTCAGGCAGGAGAATTGCTTGAACCCAGGAGGCGTAGGTTGTGGTGAGCTGAGATCTCGCCATTGCGCTCCAGCCTGGGCAATGAGAGTGAAATCACGTCTCAAAAAAAAAAAGAATCCCTACAGTGCTCTCTGGGAGACCAGCTGGGTGCTGATCAAGGGCACAAGGAGCTTTTCTGGATGGTTTTGAGTTATGCCTTGTGACTTTGAGTTTTCCCTGAATGCCAAGCAATGTAACAGATTTGGTCTACCTCCTCTGTTCAAGTGGCTCTTTCAGTTTGGTTTTCTTTTCTGCCTGCTGTGGAACTGTCAGTTAACATTAGGAGACATTGATACAATTTCCTCAGTTTAAGGGCAGGATTTAAGAAACCTTGGCTACTGAGGTTGATGTGGAAGGAGGAGGGGGTCCTGTATTGGCCGGGTACCCACTATAGTGCCAGGAACTTCACCAGGGAGGTAATACTATTGCACCAGGTAAGCTGGGGAAGTTTTCCCCAACCCAACTATATTTGCTTAGCTTCAAATAGCATATGTAGTTTATTTCTGTTTTCTTTTCTCTTTCCCTCCCTGCCTTCCTCTCTTTCTTCTCTTTCTCGCTTTCTTTCTTTTCCTTCCTTCCTTCCCTCTCTTTCTTTCTTTTCTCCTGTCCCTTCCCTTCCCCTCCCCTCCCCCTTCCTCCCCTCCCCCTCCTCTGCTCAAGTGGCTCTTTCAGTTTGGTTTTCTTTTCTGCCGGCTATGGAGCTGTTAACATTAGCAGACACTGATACAATTTCTTCAGTTTAAGGGCAGGACTTAGGAAACCTCCCCTCCTCTCCCCCCACCCCTCCCCTCTGTTCTCCTCCCTGCCCCCCATTCCCCTCCCCTCTGTTCTCCTCGCCTTCCCCCGCCCCCCATCCCCTCCTCCCCTTCCCCCTCCCTCCTCGCCTCCCTTCCCCACCCTTCCCTTCCCGTAGAGTCTCATCTGTCATCCAGGCTGGAGTGCAGTGACACGATCATGGCCCACCGCAGCCTCTACCTCCCACGCTAAGCCGCCTCCCAAGTAGCTGGGACTACAGGCGCGTTCCACCACACCTGGCTAGCTTTATGTTTATATTTTGTAGAGATGAGGACTCACTATGTTGCTCAGGCTGGTCTCAAACCCCTGGGCTCCAGCGATCCACTCACCTCCGCCTCTCAGTGTGCTGAGATTACAGGCCTGAACTACCATGCCAGGCCTTTCATACCTAGGTTAATAGCAAACTGTTTTATATGACTCGACAAGAAATAAATCATTTTCTTCTGGTAATCTGAACAAGGTGAAAAGATTCTGAGTCTTCATCCATTGAGTGTCTACTGATAATCTATGTCTCCAGGCTGGCGTGCAATGGCTCACGCCTATAATTCCAACAATTTTGGAGGCTGAGGCAGGCAGACTATTTGAGCCCATGAGTTCAAGACCAGCCTGGGCAACATGGCGAAACCTCATCTCTACCAAAAATGCAAAAAATTAGCTGGACGTGGTGGCGCATGCCTGTAGTCCCAGCTACTTAGGGGGCTGAGACGGGAGGATGGCTTTTCTCCTGTTTAGACAAGGTCTCACTCTGTCACTCAAGCTGGAGTGCAGTGGCACAATTATAGCTTGCTGAACATCAGACTCCTGGGCCCAAACAATCCTCTCGCCTCAGCCTCCTGAGTAGCTAGGACTACAGGTGTGCACCACCACGCCCTACTAATATTTTAATGTTTGTAGAGACAGGGTCTCCCTGTATTGCCCAGGCTGGTCTCAAACTGCTGGCCTCAAGTGATCCTCCCAGGGTGTTGGCATTATAGGCATGAGCCACTGTCCCCACCGATATTTTCAGTG